TCTCCGATCACTTTCGTCAGCCCTTTGATACCCATGGCGCCCCGACACTGAGTACCCCTACCCACTACCCCCATCAAATTGATTGATGACCGGTGGTGGCTTCACCCTACCCCTACAAGAGGATGATTAAATTAAGGACCCGTAATGGAAATCTTATACCCGGTACTGAGAGCTTATTCAACGAGATTTATCAGGGGTACTTATTCAACTGAATCAATTCATCACCCCTCCATTATGATTCATCGATATCAAGAACCCCCTTCCAACCATGGGTGTACCCTCTCTACCTAGTACCCACCCAGCAGCTTCTGACTTTCCCCTTTGGGACAAGGAAAATTTCTTCAGTTTTTGACCGAAAAAGAGAAAATTCGGGAAATGGCCCGAAAGCTTTCTCTGGTCTACCATCTTCCTGGTTCACGGTCGTGAAGAGTCATCCGAAATAGGTCGCTGGGGTAGGGGTAGCAAATATGGGGGTAGGGGTGATAATATCACCGGTAATTTTGGGTTTATTTTGGGCAAATATTGGTGGTAGGGGTACTTTTGTACCCAGAGGTGATTTCATCTGTACTTGATGGGTAAAGGTGCAGGCACCAGGGGGTGATACCATGGGGGGTGGGGTGTAAGAATTGCGGTGGTGGGTAGTATGAAATATTGTGGGGTGGGGTGGGTGTTCTTCCGCACAGAGACAATCAACAGAACCGGTGGGAGGCGAGGAAGTTCATTTGAAAGGTGGGGGTACAATAGGAGCTAAAAGAAGGGGTCCATCATGGTCTGACTTGAACATGTATGTAGGGGTACATCAAATATTTTGTACATCAATCTAGGGGTGGTAGGGTCACTTTGCAACATTGTCGGGGTGGTCTTGAGATCAGGACAGCATGTCCATCTATTGTAGGGTATGTATAGATAGGGTAGGGTAGGGAGAAAGGGGGGTAGGGTATTGTAAACGAAAGGTGGGGTACAGTTGCAGGGTAGGGTCCACAAGTTTAGCCATGCTGGCAGATCATCGACATAGGAGGAATCTGAGAGAAGGAGAGGAGAGGAGAGGAGAGGGGAGGGGAGGGAGGGAGGGAGAGAAAGATAGGCATGCAGAAGAGAAGAGAGAGAAGGAGAAGCACATGGTTGAAACAGGTACCACAGGCTAGAAAGACTTGGCAAGGAGGTGAAGAACGAGAATCACTGCGAAAAGCTGGCAGTGGTGATGAAGAAGGAAACATCGTAGAGGAGAATATTAAAAGGGAGGAACGTGGAGATAATTTGGAATAGCCAGAAGCCGTCAAGGAAAGCAACCAGTAGAAATGCTTCTTCAAGCACAGCGTCGAAGTGAGGAGGAGTGGAGGGGGTTGACTTTTCTAATCAAACAACTTAGCAAGCCTCTCCTCTTTGACTTGTTCTCGCGCTTACAGTCTTGTCATCAGTTGTAATGCCGACGGCAGCTGCCGGTACGATGTTGCCCTCAGAGAAGCAGGAGCGTGGGCCGTACTTGAAGGCTGCATGCCGGGCTGGTCTTGCCATGGTTGCCGCTGCCTTGGTTGTCTTGGTGGTGTACAGAGGACGCCAGGTTCCTCCTCGTCTCCTCCATGACCTTCAGCTCATGGCTACTGCAGGTGCCTGTGGAGGATCTGGCGAGTGGGCCGGGCGTGAGCAAACTGCCCCCTCAGCTAGCGCAGGAGCAGGCGGCGATGCCGACGGGCAAGTACTACCTGATGAAGATGATCAGAAGGCAAGTGGAGTGGAAGAGAAGGCAGAAGCAGCACAAGGAGGACGCTGCAGCCTCGCAAGTTCACATGTTGAGGAGCTACAAGCAGATCATGGCAGACAAGCTTGCGAGGATGAAGGCCATCTCGCATGCGAAGCTGCTGGCAAAGAAGCACGGGGATCAGGTGGCTCCTGATCAGCTCTTGCTGAAAGCGAAGCAGCTGCAGGCGAAGTCGAGGATGATGAGCAAGAAGCAAGTCGGACCCACACAGCTGCTGCAGCTGACGCCCGAGCTCTACGAGGAGGCGGCGAGGAGCTACCAGCAAGTCGGAGAGACCGTGTACCGCATGCCTCCTCCTAACTATCAGTACACGCCACTGCAGCCCGTCGCTGCTGCTCCTCAGTATCAGGTTGCCTCCAGCACTCCCATGTACCCCATGCAGGTGCGCATCACTCTTTCTTGAGCGAGCCATACATGACCAACAGCAGCAGCAGCAGATGCAGCAGCAGCCACAGCAGATGCAGCAGCAGCAGCCGATGCAGCAGCAGCAGCAGCAGCAGCCGATGCAGCAGCAGCAGCCGTACCAGGTTCAGCTCTTCATCATCATCTCCATCGAGCGTCTGACATCCATCAGCAGCAGTTTCAGCCGCAGCAGATGCAGCAGCAGCCGCAGGCTCCCCCCAACGAAGAGCCCCACGGTCCTTCCCCTCCCCTCCCCTCCCCTCCCCTCCCCTCCCCTCTCCTCTCCTCTCCTCTCCTCTCCTCTCCTCTCCTCTCCTCTCCCTCCAGCCTGACCGTCCCCACAGCCCAACGCGCAAGACATCGACCCGATGGCTCCGTCCTTCGTTGTCCCTCCCACCCCCGGCGGCTCCTTCTCCTCCCCTTGCCGCGCTGAGTTCACCGTCCAGGCCCTCGGCCTCCATCAGGTTGGTGACCCTTGTCGAGGCTGCCGGACTTGACGATCCTCTCCCCAGCACGACTCCATCACCATCACCCTCCTCAATGGCCCGCAAGGCTCGTCGATCAGGTGGGAGGGGGAGGAGAAGCTGAACGAGGAGAAGGAGGAGCAGGAGCAGGAGCAAGGGGGGGGAAGATGGGGGACCAGGTCGTTTCCTGCTTGACACGCTTGCAGCACGCCCATCACAAGCAACCCGGGCTCCACGATCTTCACCTGGGAGCCCTCGCCGCAGGCTCTGCAGTTGGGAAGCAGCACACAGCAGGTGAGGAGAAAGGGAGTCTTTCAATGCTCCTACCTCCTGCTTCCTACCTCCTGCCCCGTCCCTCCTACCGCCTACTCCCCTTCCCTCCTACTCCTACTCTCACTCCTACTCTCACTCCTACTCCTACTACTCCCTTCTTCCTACCTCATCGCTCCATCCCTCCCTCCCTCCTCTTCTGATGTAGGACGTCTCAGGCGTGCTTTCAAGCTAAGGACCGCACCGGGCTCACGAGGAACAAGTGCATCTCAGTGACAGTGACTGGGGGCCAGGGATGCTTCCAGGTGAGCTGCTCTGCCCTTTACCTGCCTCGACCGAGCGAGCTGAAGACTACTCTGACAGCAGCAGCAGCAGCAGCAGCAGCAGCAGATGCAACAACAACAGGAGCCTGTGCGGCAGCAGCAGCAGCAGCAGCAGCAGCAGCAGCAACAGGAGCCTGTGCAGCAGCAGCAGCAGCAGCAGCAGCAGATGCAACAACAACAGG